TTTGAAAATCTTAGCTTATATTTGAATGATATGTTACTTGTTTGGAATAATTTGAGGATGATCTGTAATGTAAAAGGATTGCTAGCAAGGTAGTTTGAGATGAAAAATTTGAGCCCCATAAATCTATTCTCGGGGATGCAGATCAAGATGGCCCATGAGAAAAGAATGTTATGGTTGAGTAAAAAAAAATACACAAAGAATGCTTTAAAGAAATTTGACATGTCAGACGCAAGCTAGTGAATACTTCCATCTCTACAGGTTCCATGTTATTAGATGCATGAGTTACATGAGTTATATCATATCATTTATATCATATCATTTCATATCTATTATATCATATCAGATGCATGAGTTACATGAATGAAACTATATTACATACCTACATTCATCACAACATATGCCATGTGAACCAGGATTCTATTGGACCAAAGTGGAACAACATATTGAGAAAACTCTGAAATCAAGAGCTTACCTGGAACTAGCTTCTCTGTAAACCCTGCTTGTACGTCACTAAAGCTATCTGTATATATGTAACCATCAAGATCACCTATTCAAATATGATCTTTATGTCAATACTTAATTACTTGCACTTGAAGAAACCTCTTATGTACATACATATTTCAAAATTCTTCTTATCAATTCATGTCAATTCATACCAATATTCACAAGTTAACTCTATTTTAGACATATTCTTAAAGTCTTACATATCAACACATTTAACTTAATTCACTTAACCCATAGGTTAACTTAGGTTTCCACACTTTCACCATATATAATATGATGCACTTGAGTCACCATAAGTTATTATAATTGCATACGTTTTAGTTTTAAGGCCTTTTATAATTTTAATAATTGCAGACGTTTCAGTTTGCATGACTTTATGTTTGGTTTATGGCTATTTCTGTTTTGTATTAGTTTTAAGACCATTGATGGTCCTTTATTGTCAGTTACTTTTTGTATTGCCTGATTAAAAGGCTTGTTAGAAGGATGTGAAAGGAAGACTTTTTGATTATTGAAGAATGATATTATAGCAGAAAACTTCTGCATTTTCCTGAAAGCCTATTTTTCCTATAATTTTGCATCATAACATACACTTAATTTTACTTGATTTATACAACCAAACACTTAATTGAATTAAAAACCGTACCTAGTTCATATAACCACATAGTGGCCGAATAGGACTAATAAGGTTACCATGCATTTTATGCATTTCACTCTTCATCGAAGACTACTCAAGGCAACTCTTACCTTCATTCTCCATTATTTAGCCCAATGACCATTTAAGGTGGCAATAACCATTCTATGCTTTGAACTAATGAATAAACTAATCCATTCCATTCTAATACATCAATTTAGCACCAAACATCTTTAAAACATCAGCCAACAAGCTTCCAAGCCCTTTTTCCTCATTTTGGCCGAAATGGTAACACAGTTTCCAGCATTAATAGTCTGCACCATTTTATTCATGAAAAATCCATTTCTTATATGATTGCCCTGAAGTTTTAGTATATTATACTAGACATGTGCAGATTTAATTTGGCACAAACCACACTCAATTTGGAGTTCTATAACTCCATATATGAATTTTAGAAAAAAAAGGCCAGATTTGGCTTTTAGGTTTCTTTGATTTTCAAAACCTATAACATTTTTCTTTATTTGAACTTTCAATCAACCAAGTTATAACTCTAATTTCATCTTGAAATTACAACAAACAAATAGTATACCTATTTTAACATGCATAGGCCAAGGCACACATATAGTTAGGTCAGTCCAATTTCTGTATTTTTCAACAATTCAATCGGTTATTATTCATCAACAACCACCAAAGAATAAAAGTCCCATCACTTAGACTTCAAACCACTTCATATAAATATGATAAAAATCCATCAAAATTAGTCTTGTACACACAAACCCTAACCTAAAAATTAAAGGAAATAACCATTAAAAGTTAGGTTTAATACCTTAAATCACTTCAAGAAGACTATATCATCAATTATCCTTCAAACAAGCATCAAAACCTCAAATTTCTCCTTGATTGCAGCTGCTGGTAGATGGCGTTGAGAGGAGAAAACAAAGCACACAAGGCTTATTTCAAAGATTAGATACTAGGGTTTTAATCACAAGATGATTAAGAAGATTTTATCTCAAAGAAACTATGCATTTTTGTCACTAAAAGACCAAGTTCTTAAGCTCTCTTTTTCTCGCATGGAGGTTACGGCTTGAAGGAGGAAGAAATGCAGATTTTTCTCCTTAAGAGACAATTAAAACCAACCTAATAAAGGATAAAAATATCTAGCACACTAATTTTGACTTTTTCAAGTTTTATGTCATCTTATTTCCTATTGGTTGATTTTATTAATTCTTGTCTTAATTTTTATAATTATTCTAGACATAATTAACATAATTTGAGATGGCTTAAAACCCTTAAAATATTCCATAGAATTTAATCATATCATTAAATTAAAGTTTAGACCTAATTTTGCTTAAATGCAAAATGGTCCCTATACTTTCACATAATTAAACTTTGACCCCAAAACTTATCAAATATTATTTTTAAGGTCCTAATTGACTTGCTTGCCATGAATTGTATTTCCATAATTTATATCATGTCAATTAGATGATTAACAGATGAATTCTAACTTTCGCAACATATTTATCCTAGAATTACATAACTTAACTATATAATTTCGTAATTTCTTGAACTTATTTACTTATATCTATAATGGCCATGCATAATCAAATCTTAAAGGTATGGGTTATTATAACTCATACGTCACATTTAGTTGACGATACATGTTTCTAGTCTCACAAAAGGTCTTGCTCCCCGGTGAGAAAGCAAGGGTTTAGGATAGCCAACCCAACGGGGGTGTAAGGGATAGGCCGTGCAGTGCCTCTGTGTACGTGAATATAACTTATGTTATTTTGGGCATTTGGTTTGTTTTCGTGATTTGGGCTCAGTAATGAAAAGTTATCGTGATTTAGAATTTATGAACCTATTTATATTTTCTTATAATAGAGAAATTGCAACAAAATGTTATGAGTAGAATATATAGTCAAAAAATATATATTGCTAGGTATAGCATTACAAGTGGATGAGTTAGGATAAATATGTGTCTCTATTTTTTCTTGTTTCGTTTACAATTGTGTATGATTGATCATTTACTTCTGAAGTATATAATCAATGTTATTCAGATAAAAGGTCTATGGTAAGGTTACAAAGAAGTCTGATCCTAACTGGCTTTTCAATTCTCATCAAAGGAGGTAACCATGAGATACGCAAGACGGTAAAAATAAAAAATAAAAAATAATAGGGATTCTGCAATCGCATTATGACGGGAAGCTTTCACAAAAGTGATTTTAGATGTTATTGTAGGGCCCCATAATACTGTGTTTATATATTCCATTCATTTATAGTTATATATAATTACAGACACAAAATGTATAAATAAATATTTCCATTTTTTTTTTTTTTTTTGATAACATATTTCCATTTTTTTAAGTGACATGTAAAATTGTATTCATTTTGCTAACCTCTTTGATTCTTGAGTTATTAAATTTTTTTAATTAAATTTAAAATATACTTGATTTAAGAGCATTCAATAATTAATTTATGTAAAATATATGTTGATAAAAGTAAAAGTAATTAAGAGCTGGATTGTCTAGAGTGCATTGAAGAGAATTAACAAACAAGTGTAGTGCATGATAAGTGTGTGATTTATGAATCTTATAGAAGAAATGTATGTAGAAAATGAAAGGATTTAATTTTGGTACTATAATTACAAGATTTATTTTCTTTACATGCATTGTCATCAAATTGTGTATTATCAAATTATAAAAGTTGGACGATTAATTGCAATTATTGTCGAAGAAGTTTATTTTTCTTAACTGATAGTGTGATAATAACATAACAATAAAACACTTATATTATATTTAGTATTAAATTTTGTTTTAAAAAATATATATTAATATATTAATAAAGAGCATATCTTTTACGTCAATGTTAACCTTTAAAATTTGACATCAGATCCTAACTGTTGATTTTTGCCAATTAATAATTATTATTTATTGAAAATTAATAATTAATTAATAAGTTTAATTCTCAATAAATGATAACCGTTGATTGGCGAAAATCAACTGTTAAAATTTAGTATCAAATTTCAAAGTTTGATACCAGTGTCAAAAGATTCTATCCCTATTAATAAATAATAATTCACAAAATTTTATATTAACCGCTCATAAATTTATACAGATAATTTTACAAATTTATACAGATAATTTTAAGTGACAAATTTTATATTAACAAAAAATAAAGCCTATCACTATCTTATGAATAGTTTTAGTATTTTCTTTGGAAAGGCCCATCTTATGCATTTAATAGAAGGCCTATCTTTTATGCACTCTAATCGACAAGTTACAACTGTGCCCAATAATTAAATTCAACGGTTCACATCACTTCACAGGATCACAGGCAATCTTTTATTATACCAAGAGTATCAAAATAATTAAACCCTGCTTTAAATTCCACAAATTATTTCTCACAAGCAAGGATGGACAAAGGGTCCACAACCGCCAGACGAGGGATATTAGGCGATGTAGTTGATCAAAACTAAACAACATCGTACGTGGTTACTAAATAAGATTTACAAGACAACAACAACAACAATGATAAATCTACCATTTCCACATAATTATATTCCAAAACGCAACCTCTCTCATACAGAGAGAAGTCGACTATTTCTATATATAATCCAGTTTGAGTGCAAGAAAACTGTATAATCCTTTGTTTAGATTTTATTGACCTGAACAATCACGTGGTGGGTTCTTAGTGAGCTACTATTGGCTACCACTTCGGCTGTGTTTGAAATTTTATCGTCCATAAATAGCTTTCCCCTATACGACAAGCTATAACAACCCAGCACCAAACCCAACTTATCCAAGTTATCTTCCTCGTATAAAACCCCTTCTACACTTGTAAACTTCATCATTGCTACAAAGAGTGATCACAGAGAGAGAGAGAGAGAGAGAGATCATGGTGAACTTGGTGGCAGCACAGAGGCCAATGTTGCATGGGCTAATGAAGATGGCGGGGATCAGGCCCTACACGGTGGAGATAGAGCCAGGGACAGTGATGAGTTTCTGGGTACCATCAGAGACCATTACGAAGCCCAAGAAAAAAGACGAAAAGCCCAAAGTCATTGCCAATCCCAGTAAGCCCACGGTGGTTCTGGTCCACGGTTTCGCTGCAGAAGGAATAGTGACGTGGCAGTTCCAAGTTGGTGCTTTAACCAAAAAATACGCGGTTTATGTTCCGGATCTTCTATTCTTCGGAGATTCAACCACTGATAAATCAGAGAGGTCACCAAGTTTTCAAGCAGAGTGTTTGGCTACGGGGTTAAGGAAGCTTGGGGTGGAGAAATGCATAGTGGTTGGTTTTAGCTACGGTGGGATGGTGGCGTTTAAGATGGCTGAGATGTACCCTGAGCTGGTCCAAGCCATGGTCATCTCTGGCTCCATCTTGGCAATGACTGACTCAATCAGCGTGACCACACTCCAAGAACTTGGGTTTTCTTCTTCTTCAGAGCTTTTGTTGCCTACCTCTGTTAAGGGTCTTAAGGCCCTTTTGTCTGTGGCTGCTTACAAAAAGCTATGGTTCCCTGATCGTTTACACAAGGACTTTCTTGAGGTATGCCCTTAGGCCTTAGCACTTTGCTCCATTGGATCTCCCTTGATTTATGGAATTAACGTTTATCGTGTTACAAGATATGATTTTATCTCCTATAGATACATAAAAAATATGTGAGATCAAAATTTTCTTTTTATCTTCTTTTTTTCGCACGAGCCCCATACACTTTTATGCATGTATGAAGTAATTTTATCTCATAAAATATGAGAATTATTAATCTCTTTATTTATATATTTGTTTATTTCGTTTTGTTTAAGGGATATATGTTTCTTATGTTGTAGTAAAAAAAAAAATTATCTTATGTTGTAAAAATAAAAGTATAAGTGAGACCCACAGGTAAGAGGAGAGAAAAAAGAGAGTGATAGAACCCAACCTCTTTTTGTGTGTAGGAGAGTTGTTTATCTCATATAAACATAACCCTTTGTTTAATTATATTTTGGTTCACTACTGACTATAGTAATTTATTCAAGTGCTCCTCTTTCTTGTCCTAGTTTTTATTACAGTTTTTTTTTTTCTTTTAAAAGAAAATATTTGCATTCACATGACTGAAACACACGTTATTGCATGCGATGGCATTAACGATTATAAGGTAGGTCTTACATTCTAGCACATTAGTTACTTTCTGATCGGGATGGATTTCACCTATAACTTTCTTAATTTCTTCGTTGTTGATTCCTTTGTTTATTTTATTATATCTTCTTTTTCTTTTGTGATATATGTCTTTTTAGGTTTTACTGATAGCGACTGCCAACCATTCATGTTGTATGCTTTTAATTTGCCAATATAATGGTGCATCGACTTTTTGATTTTTTTTGCAATACATCAACTAATCGTATGTGTTTATAAGATATGGAAAATGTAAGCAAAAGATTCGGTCGACTATAGAATATAACGTTAAAAATGAAAAATAAAATAAAAAAATAGAATTGGATTGGTTAGTTGTTAAATTGTTTTTTATTTTTTATTTTTTTGAGAGGGGTTTAAATTTGAGTAGACAGATCAAAATTGCTATAACGATTCTTTTAATAAGTAGTAAATACTTGTGTGTCCCTAACAAAAAATACGGTTCTCATCCTTACAAAAAAAATATTAGTCAACCGGTCCCTGTGAAATTCAAAGTGGACCTATTTTAATCCTTTTGAGAGATTCATGGATATTTTTTGAATTTGTGAGAGACCACGATTTCAACTAAATGGACCCACTTTGAATTTCTTAGGGACCTTGAGACTAATATTTTTTTTATAAGAAACTAAAGTAGAAATCGTAATTTTTGTTAGGGACCAAAAATGTATTTACTTCTTAATAAAAGAAAAGTAAATAATACAAAGGAAACATAAATGACAACAGGTGGACCATAACATTATGTACACAAAGAGGAAAGTTATTTCCAAAAAAAAAAAAAAAAAAAAAAGAGGAAAGCTAGGAATGTGGCTTAGGTCAACTAACTTCACCTAATAAGCAATAACATCGGAAAGAAGTTGAAGATAAGGATTTTGATGGTTCTTAAACTAATCTATTGTCTTTTCAATTATTTTTTCCCTCTCCAAACAATTTATCTATTGGCTTGACCCGTATAATATTATTATTTTGGGAGGTCCTTGCATATATAAACTGTTAAGTAGCTTGCAATTTCACCCTATCTGTAAGTATTTTTGTAGTAATTATTTTCCCAAGTATGGCTTTCCTTTATCAATCACAGGTAATGTTCACGAATAGGAAGGAGCGAGGTGAGCTATTGGAGGACCTAGTAATTAGCAACAGAGACATCACAATTCCAAATTTTCCGCAGGTAATAATTAATCTAAACCGGCAACTCTGGGCACTGAACTCATGTTATACGTTTTTATATGTACTCTTCCATAACATTCATGCTTTTATTATAATAATTACTCATTATCCCTTTTCAGAAAATACATCTTCTATGGGGCGAGAATGATCAAATTTTCAAACTGCAGCTTGCCCAAAATATGAAAGAGTAAGGCTCTAGTTCTAAGAAGAAAAAAAGAAAAAAGAAAAAAGATATTTGTGCACAAATTAATGTCCCAAAAAACCTTCTCCAAGTAGCGTTATTCGTTGAGTCCTTCGACTCAATTTTTTTTCCTTATATATTCCATTTTGTATTATTGAATTTAATTCTCAATTTATACATAGTCAAACAAATATTGTCTTTTTTTTATTAGAGAGTTGTTGAGAATAGTTATGCATAGTAAACATTTCTGATGCAATGACAGGCAACTAGGAGATGGCACAACGTTTCAAGGCATAAAGAAAGCTGGTCACTTGGTTCACCTGGAGCGACCATGTGTCTACAATAGATGCCTCAAACAGTTTATTGCTTCCTTCTTGGCCTCAAATGAAGCCAAAAAATAACCCAGTTATTCTTCAACTCTATTCCGTGCTCATATTATTTATCTTTAATTTAGCCTAAGATGGAAAATTGTTAAAGTTATTATCTGTGATATCCATTGTATTCTAAACGGCTAGACTACTATTCACAAGATGATTTTGATGATATAAATAAGGTTACCTTCCTTTCCTTCTTTCTTTTTTTGTATATTCCTTTTATTTATTTATTTTTAATTCGGAGAAAAATGCATATATCTTTCTTAAAAATTTGAAAAATTTAAAAATAATCTTTTGAAATAGGACTAATTTAAATTAACCATTTTTATTTAAGAATTTAATATAATATTTTTTGGGCTTTGGAAATTTAAATATATATATAACAATTTTCCCTTAATTGCTTACTTAGGGAGATTGTAATTAATCCCATATTAAAAGGATATTTGTAATATTTCAACGTTTAGAAATAGGTGTATTGAACCCTTTGGCAGCGTTCAATAGGCCTCTTCGGCTATCCTTTTCATCAGCAAAACAAAGTTTTCATCATATATCATGAAAATTTACCAACAACTAATAATTTAAATGGTATGGAGTTTGTTCTCCTTGACCAGATATCATGAGTTTGAATTAATAATAATAAAATAATATCGAAGAGCTATTGGAAAGAAAGAAATTTCTCATAATTATTACACAATGGTTAATTTACAAGAGACGTCGACCTTATATTTATAGGACTAAGAATAGTGGACCCATAAAATTTTATTTATATCTGTATATTTAGTGACTGAAGTTCGCTGCCCCCAAAAAAAATTTAAAATAAATTTTTAAATGCATTAAAAAAATAAAAGAATATAGACAAGAAGAGAAAAAAAACTATTCACATATATCAAACTTTGCTATTTCAGACATATCTTATTTTTTGTAAATGCTATTTCGAGCTAGAGTAAAGTACTTTTGAGTCCTCAACAAATATTACGGGGCCTAATTTAATCCCTTACAAAAAAAATTTCAAACTCATGATTCTTCTGAAATTCAAAATAGATCCATGTTAGTCCTTTTGAGCGACTAATGTGGGTCTTCTTTAAATTTAAAAGGGACCACGATTTTGACTAACTGTGTCTATTTTGAATTTTAGAAGGACCATAGGTCGACTTTTTTTTAAGGGATTAAAATTAGCCTCCTGATTTTTGTTGAGGACCCAAAAAATACTTTATTCTTCAAGCTATTCAAGATATTTCAAATGAATTTTTTTTCTGCACTTGCACACATAAGTAACTATGTAGGACCACTAATGATTCATAGTAAGAGATATGCTAAAGGCTATTATATCCGTACACAAAAGTAAAAATAGAAAGTTGTTACATTGCTATTTTTTTATCGTGATTGGTTGCTGCAAATGACACATCAGCATTGGGCTGACGTGGCTATGACTCACATGTTACCCACGGAAATATCTATTGTGCAACCGTCGCACAATACACTCCATGCGACTAACCAATCAACATGGAGCAAGAAGTTGTGTTGTCCGTACGGAAAAAGAAAAAAATATTTTTTAATCCACTTGTCATTTTCTTAATTGCAGATGTACATACTACTGCCGTGGAGAAGATGATCTCGTTACCCACCCCCACCCTCCAAAGATGGACGTAGTATATTGACAAGGCTCATCTTGGACACAAAGGAACTAAAAGGAGAAGACGTCAAAGACTTTGTAAACACGTTGGCTAGTTGATCAGATGACTTAATGGGAAGTAAACACAACAAACTATAGAGACGGTTTTCTCGCAGGTGACATAGCAATTCATCTCTATGAGCTTCGAACCTTCATGGAAAGTGGCACTATGAGCCAAATAAATGGTCGAGTGATTGTCACAAAAGACGAAAGCATGCTTCGTCCATGGAAGATACAAGTCTTGAAAAAGATATTGAAGCCATTGCAGCTCACAAGAGAGGCTAGTAATAACTCTCTAAAAGAGAGTTATTTTTGGGCTTAATTGTGATGTTTTGGTGCCATGATTTGCTCTTGATTTTATATGATTAATGCATGAATTCTATGTTTTCATGCTTTAATTGATAATTATGTTAAATATGGATACTTGGACATAATTTAAGCATTGGAAACATTTAATGCATTTGTTATAATACTGCAGATCAATGCTGTAGCATCGAAAATCAGTGTTGTAGCAGTGTAGATGAGGTAAGCAATGCATATTGTTGACATCATTACCAGCAAACTATGGATCCAAGCCCAAATTGATGGAAGAAGCTTATGAACGTGTAATCAAAAACTTGATCTGGATACGCGCTCAAAGACATTCAAGAAATCACAATCAAATCTTCACTAAATAAACGATTACAAATCTAATTCATATCTGAATCACAAATTTGGAAAGATTTAGGGAAGATATGCAGCAGTATGCTCTGTCAGCATTACAGCAAAAGAGAGTCATATTCTCAATCAATCATAAGGCAGATTTGAATGAGATTTGCATGGATATGAAGAGCTGATTGAATCCCAAAATATCAATAAGATATAAAAAGAGAAGAAATCTACACACGGCAAGACATGTTTTAGACACCCAATTGGAGGCAGAATTTAGAGAGAGAAAGTGGGGAAACACTTGGAAGGAATTTGAGGGTTCGTTGAGAGACATCCAGCAAATCAAAGGAAGGAACTAGGGTTCAATAGAGAGATGATTGACCCTAGCAACTTGCTGCATTATTCCGGCGGTGTAACGCCCGGCCGCTTCAAGAATCAATGACTATCCCCACATACTAACACAAGACTTTTCAGTGTACTTTTTCCTCACTCGCACACTTCTTGGGAAAACTTTCCAGGAGGTCACCCGTCCCAGAATTGCTCCAAGTCAAGCACGCTTAACTATGGAGTTCTTCCGTTTCGGGCTACCGAAAAGAAGATGCATATTGTTAGTATAGGTAGTACCAATTAATTCTTATAAGCTATCCCAAACTGTTCAGTCTCACACCTGCACAGTCATTGAAATCCCTCGCTTTCGGGTATCGATTCGATTCATTTATGCATGTAACCCCTTGCTGGAAGCCTGTCAGGAGTCGCTCCTTGTCCGTGCTTCTTTGCACCGGCGATTACTCCCCGCCCTCGTCAGCGCTTGAGATGTTACATGCCCACCAGCTTCCGCCTGGTTCGTCCTCGAACCACACCATACTGGAAGAGAGGCCCTGCTCTGATACCACATGTGCTGATCCTGAAAATGTTAAAGCTCTGATACCATAAAATGTAAGGTTTGTTAACATGTTATCGTATTAAGCCATGCTTAATTAAAATTGGGGATATCTTTTTCTTTTCAATTATGACATCATTATTGTTGTTTGGGTGACAATGGAGGACAATTGAGGAGAATGGTGTGAAGTCTCACATTCTGAGTGTGTGTGGTTGCTGATTGGGTGACTTGAGTGGCTGAGCTTTCTTCTTGGTTGTGAGAAAACCATTTTCTTAGCACATAAGGCTTCAAGAAGCCATTTTGATGATGAAAGGTCCAAGCTTGTAGCTTTTTTCGTGGTCTTGAGGTGGCAGAACTATAGTGCTGTGTAGAGGACCCCTTGTGTGTCTCATTTCGAAGTTTTGGAGCTTAGAGGTATACCATGATCACCTCTTTGTCATTTTGATGTTTTTAACTTGTTTAATCTATTAAAAAGAGAAACTTCAACCATTTGATTAAAGGAATGTGTTTCTGGGTTCTTAGCATGTTAATGAACATCTGTTTAGGGAGTCATTGGACTCCCAATCGCATTTGGACCCTTAAAAATGGGATTATGCAGATCACTGTTCGTATTTCTGCATTGTGGTGAAGAAGTATTCGAATACTTTTCGTGTAGTATTCGAATACTTGTTCACTGGTAGTCGAATACTCCTTGCTGGAGTATTAGGATACTTTTCTGGGAAGAAAAATATTCGGATACCTTGAAGAATTAGTCGAATACTGGGTAGTATTCGAATACCAGGTGGTATTCGAATACCAGGTGGTATTCGAATACTTCAGTGAAAGTAGTCGAATACTTTCTGGACGGCAGGAGTATTCGAATACCTCCTGCAGAAACTGCCTAAAATGACTTAAAATGATATGGAAAGCCTTAATCACTTAATGTAACCTGGAGTAACGGTTATTGATGATTATTTACTGTATAAACAGATTGTGATTGTGCTGTTTGTGGGCTTAAGCTTGTGTGAGCTCTTGGTTTGGACGTATTGCTTAATAGGTAAGTTTTCGTGTCCTCGGTTTAGCCATTGTTGGTTCCACCATGTCCCATGGGGGATGATTTATATGCATGATGTTGTTTTCATGTATTGTTTTGATAAATGCTATTGAGCTGTTATATGCGAGTGCCTTTATGATATGCATGTGGTGTTCCACCTATACGGTAAGCCTGAGTATGTGGAGACATACAAGATGGTGAGGCTGTGGGTGAGGTGTAAGCGGTGTTCCTTGTACTTATTGTGGGGTTGTAGACGTACGTCCTGCATTTCTCTGACCAGTAGAATAGTTAAAACACACATGGCATGAATATCTGTTGCACTGCAGAGTTTTGGAACTTATACTGTTAAATGCTTTTGAACTTATATTGCACATGTAAGTGAGCTTGGGGTGGAAGATCCTTGTGGACCCCTTGTCTTACTGAGATTTCTTGTTTAGAGATCTCACCCCACGTTTGGGGACGCTTATTTTAGGTTCAGGTAACTTGGGGGCTGATGCCTCTAGCGACATGAGGCCGGAGCTTAGCTGATATTGATGTTATATGCTGACATATTTGGATGCTGGATTATATCTGCTAATGTTATGCTTTTAGCTTGTTATTATTATGCTGCTGTTGTTGAGACTTTTGTGGGCTTTGTTGCTTTATTGGGTGAGCATGAGATTTGTCCATGCCACATAGATGTTAGTACTTTTAGCTTAAGTTGTATAAACTATCAGGGTTGTCCGGTCTACGTGTTGTAGTTCTGTGACTAGAGACATATTGATGTTAATTTTATATTGAGGTATTTCAGTTAG